TGATGGTGATGATGATGGTGATGATGGTGGTGATGATGATGGTGATGATGGTGATGGTGATGATGGTGATGGTGATGATGGTGATTATGGTGGTGATGGTGATGATGGTGATGGTGATGATGGTGGTGATGATGATGATGAAGATGATGGTGGCGATGATGATGGTGATGATGGTGACTATGATGATGGTGATGGTGGTAGACACCTAATTTCAGGGGATTCTATATTGGAAATTGTACTTTGTATATGTTGATTGTAGTAGACAGAGAACCCATCCAGGCCCTAGCTGTTTGCAAAGGGTGCTGTGTTTGAGATTTTGCCCATGGTACAATTCTGTCAAATCAAACTAAATACCAAATGCAGTGTTCTGTCTATCCGAGGCTTCATATTTATCTGATTTCTAACACGTTAAAGTAATTTACTGAATTTGATGTTTTTATGTTCATCATTCCACGATTTCTATAAAATTATTTTATTGCAAAAACAAAATTCTCTCTCTTTTTATACCAAACAAAATAAAGACAATGAAATCTTTTTTAAAAAGCAACCAAGAATGGTTACTTACTATTGTTACTATTTTAGTTTATTTTCTTCAATTGCCACAGGTAAGTCGAGCGTAGCATATGTCCCAGGTAAGGTACTAAAAAACACATTTTAGTATTTTAGCTAAGAGATGAGCTATAAGAGAGATTTATAGATAATATTAATGAAAATGTGATGGATTTTTCACTTAATCCACTGCAGCCAAGGGCATCTTCTTACCCTCCTTTGTTTGTCTGGCCCCACGTGGGATGCATGCTGACATCCATTAGATGCCGACTACTCCAGAAAAATGCACGATCTCCGAGGAGCGTTCCGTTCTCAGTGTTGCATATGGTGAAGGCAGAAAAAACATACAAACAATGAACCCAGATTAATAAGAACCATCACTTTTCCAAATTTTAAACTGGAGCCAGTGACCTGGCAGAAGGTCGCCACGGGTGTATTTGTGGAATTATTCACATAAATCGCTTCACAAAGAAATTGTAGCCACATTAATTTTACAGTTAATAATTTGCCTTCATAGATTGGATATACTTGTATAAACAAGAAATTGAACATTTCGCACTTCTGTCTGTGTGGGCACGAGGGTTTCTATTTCCCGTGACGTCGAAGGGCGTTATACTCACGATGATGACCTGGAGAGTTTGCACCTTTCCTAAAACGTCGCCTGCCTCTTGACAAGCTTACGAGTAACTACCTGGTAACTAACTTGTAACATCACAAGGAATAGTATACGCTTCGTGGTCACGAGTTTCTTTTCTGACACCCAAATGACATTTTGTTCACAGAATTTCCAACTGGCTATTCGGGTATCGATTTACCCATTTTCTTTATGTCTAGACTATTAATATTCACTGACCTGTATGCATTTTCGGCCTTATTCCATTCAGCTGGTCAATCCTCAGTAAGCTTTGATTAAAGGCATTCTGACAGACCTTGTGTGCAGGTACTGTATGTTCTCCAATTATATCGAGACCGTTCATATTTCTTCAACCTGACCCAAGATAACGGTTAGCAGGCATCCAACTTTGCCTTGAGTATGTGTACATAATAGAACAGTTTCAGAGAACTCTGCCGTAAGACCTTTGTACCAAATCCACGTCCATAACATGCTTTTTATTTAAGTTAAAAAACTTGGATTGTTTTTTCCCTTATAAAGTCCAACATGGCACTATTCCCTCTCTGCAGATTTTCGTGCTTAAGCTGGCAAAAGCGTGTTGAAGACGTGTGGGTGGTCACACGTAGAAGAAGCCGACTCAACTTCCTGTCTTCGGGCCTTACCGTATTCTTGTTAGAATAACGCACTTCTTTGTAATGTACCTTATTTCCTGTAATGTGCATAACTTTTTTTTGGTACCTTTTTCCAGCTCATGTACCAATTTAGCAAACTCCAGTGCAAAGATGAACTTGTTCTGTTTCCATGTTTGTCTCCGTGATCCTCAAAATAATGATCCCCCCCATCACATTTTTGAATCCATACCAAGAAGAGAAAACATGGCATAAATATACGGAACAACCCTCACGTCAGCGGGAAGGTCGAAATCATCATGATAATGGTGGTTCTTCTTCCTTAACGAGCTCACTGGGCACAGACATTGCCGATCCGTGTATGCTCTGGTTTTTATTTATTTTTAATTCTGTCTCATTTGCTTAGTAAGTAATGAAGATGAAGATGTTCTTTCTCTTCTTCTGTGTCCTTCAGTCCAAGGGAGTGAGGCTTGGCACACAGGTGTACGAGGAGGGCCACGTGCATAGAGCTCCAAGCTCTGTTCGCCCATTCCCGAGTCAGAGCCTGTGTCCAGGGAAGAGGCCTGAACCGAGTTGATTCGGTCATCCACCGCCGTACAAACCAAATAGCCGCGATCTCCAGGTCGGCAAGCTGTAGACACTTGCCAGATGTAATAAAATAATTTACAGGGGAATCTTAGCCAATGATTCTGGTAACCGAGCCTTTTCCTGCAATGCACATAATGTATCCGTTTCTCTGGAAGAGGAAAGCTGGCAGGAAGAAGCCTGAGCAGACGTCCCGGATTCCTCACGGAGATTTCGAATGGAATTTACAGCTTCAAAAGCCCATCGAATGAAACACACATCTAGCCGCCAACGGGAAAACGAACTGTGAAATCGAATGACAGAGAGAAGCCTTGAGAACGGATGATGCTTTCAATGTTTACAAAAGTTCGTTTTTTTTTTTTTTTTTTTTGAGTAACTCGCCGCAAATTGATGATAATTCAATATTGAAACCGTGGCCTTTTTCCGCAATTTACGTGGAGAATCCTTAAGTCGAGACACTGTTTTAATCCAGTCTGTTCATGCTCTTTTCAAGTGTTCTACATGATTGTTAACCCTCCGTTCTTTTGACACCCACAAATCTAATTCATACCTTGGAACTATATGCTGTTTCGAGCTGGCGTGTCTATTTTTTCCCCCTTTTGTTAATTCATCGAAGAGCGTGAGATCTTCCGCTGGGATTTCAGTGTCCTGGAGTCCTGAAGCCTTGACACACATTGAACTTCCAGTGTCAGCAGGCCTCTCGTGGCGACTGGAGGACGCAGCTGCTGACCACGTGCTCGCGGAATGACCAACATCCCCGGCTCTTACGTAGATTTTTCGAAAGCCGCTGGAAAAGGCGCATGGCATTTGCCATCTGCACTCGTACGGCGATCGACGGTCAGTCTGGCACGCTTTGGAGGCCAGGACAGGTGCTGGCAGGTGTCGGCAGCTGTCACCAGGTGGTGGAGAGCCCTATGCAGTCATCGCTGAGAAGTAGCAGGCAGCACATGGGCAGCTCTTACCTTACCAGGTGTAGCCAGGTATTGCCCAGGTGTCACGCAACGTGTAGGAGGTGGTACCAGGTGTTCCCCAGGAGTCGCCAGGAATGAACCATGGTTAATGGCCAGAACGGAGCCGCGGGCATCCTGCTGGCATTGCCACACGAGGCTCATATTCTCTCCGTTGGTTTCGATTCACCATTCGCCAAGCGACCACATTTATTATATCCCCGACTCGACTTGACATCGGGTGGTAAAGACAACGTGCCCTCCTCGTCCCGCTTACTCCCAACATTAAGAAACCGCGACAGGTGTTCGTAGGACCCGCTTGTGGACACCAGTCTCAGACCCTGGTCTTGGGCAGGCTGATCTGTCGTAGCGACCAGCTGCCCTTAGAGAGGAGGAAACTAGAACTGGGGACTGTACCTGGCTGGACAGGTGCGTCGCAGGGGAAAGGGTTTTAGAGGTACACCATGAGGGTTAGGGTACCCATCTCGACCGCTACCTTCAACAGGCAAAGGATATTTGGGGTGCAGGTCACGTTCTTGTCTTCTTCGGACACCTTCCTGAGGCAGAGGAGGACGAAGGCAGCTGTGACGTTGCCCTGACTGTGGCTGCTGTCAGGAGCCTCGGCGGCTCCCACGTCAGTGGCAGAAAACACCCTTATACCTCCGATGGCAGCTCGTGGCCGAGCGGTGACCAGACGCCCTCCTGAACCACATTGCCTTTGATACATAATGCTTTCCATTGCTCACGCTTTTTCAATAACACGTCCCTCGAACACATCCAGGAATACCTGTCCTTGATCATGTGTGACTGATTCTGGCTCCACTAAAATGTCCTCAGCTAGCTGCTGCTCAGAACCTGTGTCCCGATGATACCTGCGTGCCTTGACTTTCAAAGATGATTCGCGTTCACGACCAACTGACAGTTCCGTACTGAGAAGAGATGCCCCATGCCCAGTCATTCTACGAGCTGGATGCGATTAAAATACGTTCAGTTAATTGTAGCTTAGACCACTTTGTGATTAAAATGTGCTGCCTCTCAGAATGATTACGTTTTCATTAGCCCGCGGCTAACGTGTTCTGATTATTGTTTACAGTACGTGGGAAAAAATCACTCATTAGAAAAGGAAATTGGATATGTGTATGCATTTCTCCAAATTGGCCCCTCAGATGGTACCTAATGTGTTTTATAAATAGTAATAATCAGTCATGTGACGACTGCTTTGCAGTCAGAATGTAATCTGTGCACGCGTGCGTATAATCGACACGTATCTGTCGCAGGCCAGACAAAATGGTTACTGGTGGCTGCTAATCCTTTAGGAAATCGGCAGGAAATATGACTTCCTCAGGGGGAAAGCGAGCAAACACATTTATTTCGTAAACTTTCCAGGGAAGTTTCGACGGAAGAAGAATCTCGACCTTGCGTTGCGATGTCTTTAACGGAGGGGGTTCCCCGTTCTCTCTCGCAGCCTCTGTTCCCCAGGAAGAACTCCGAATGCCTGACCAGCTGTGAATTCCTCAAGTACGTCCTGTCCGTGAGGCAGGGGGACTGCCCGGCCCCCGAGAGAGCCAGCGGATTCGCCGCCGCCTGCGTGGAGAGCTGTGACGTGGACAGCGAGTGTTCGGGCGTTAAGAAGTGCTGTTCCAATGGCTGTGGACACACGTGCCAGGTGCCCAAGACGCTGTACAAAGGTAAGAGCCAGCCGGGCAAGGGTGGCAGTCCAAGATGTCGCCGCTGCAAGAAGAGACAAAACACAGACAAAACTGACTTGGCGCCACCTGCACACATCTTAAAATAGTCAGGGACCGTAGAAATCGGAGGACGTTCTTCCTGTTAATTGTCCTTAAATGTCACGTGCAGGAAGCACAGCACCAAATCGGGGACGTCTTTTTGTGTTTTATTTTTTCGTCCAGTTAAGATTGAATCAGATTAAGCTCCCCTGGGTGCGGTGGCATAAACCGATTTAAATCTCTGGGACGTAGGGTGGGGGTGGGGCCCGCTTGAAAAACGCAGAACTAACGCCCTCGTGTTGTGTTTTTACGATGACGGCGATGGCGTAATCCAAGAAGACAGGCGTCCTGGTCTTGTGGGGTTTCAATGTTTTGATTCTTATCTTGAGGTCCTAGATGTGGGGAGTGCCCTGTTTCCCAGGGAGCAGTTCCAGTTAGTGAACAATGAAGCAGGTGTGACGCTTGACATTCACTGCGGTTTCTAGAGCACCTGTGTCCTGTAGGCTGAGCGTCACTCACTTCCTTCTGTCCGCGTCACTCAGGTCTTTCCTTCTGAACTGCTGCTGTTGGATTAGGTCGTTTGGATGCTGTCGAAGTATACGCCGCGAGACATGCCATTTTGCGCCTCTTTTGGGGGGTCTGATTGGCAGAGGAACATGAAGAGAATCAGTCTGGAGCCTCGAGTCGGGTTTTCTCTCTGTCTCTGTCTGTCTCACGTTCACTGACACAGCAAGCGTATAATTTCGAAATGTAGGTGGCTTTCTTTTTTTTTTTTTAAATTATGCATAAAACGGTATTGCCCGGCAATGCTGATTTTGGATTACGTGCTGGCTAACGATGTTTATAAGTCTATTCTCAGCCTCATAGCGCTTCACAGCCCCTAGAAGCCACGTGCCTG